AGAGATACTTTTCATAAATGCAGCTCGCGCTTTGCTACTAATTAATTGACTTTATTGGAGGTTGTACTGTACATACATTAGCACAGTCATTGAATGATCGTGTAAAGCAATGCCGAAGAGGTCTTAAGACTTTCCTTTTTATAAGATTCTAGTTGTAATAGTAACGGATCGTTTGGAACTTAGCAACGTCGTACTATACAGATATTGAAGTTGACTCAATTCCTAGACACCACGCAGACAGGCATTTTGATAACATAACATGTTGATAATTTGCAATCTATGATTATTAGAACTTATAACTTATCTATTATAATTACAACGAATTATCAGGTAGGACATTACGCTACGGTTCGGACTTGGTGTATTAGTGTAACGATACACATATTTTAATGATTATTCGCGACAACATTTCTTTTATACTAAAATATAAAGATCAAGGCAACATCAGAACTAAACTGACAGTGTTTTATTCCTTTGGGAATAATACTAAATCCCTTTCTCAAAAAAATTTAAATAGAAATCATATATAATCAAACAATCTTTACAACAATGCGACTATTGCTAAATATGCTGATCAATAAAAACTTCCATTTATTATATTTGCTTTTCCAATTCATTCTCATCATTTAAAGCTTGACAACCAGTTTTTACTAACAATCAATCATCGGCTACGAACAATCATTAATTTTACCACCTAGCAAGTACAGTTAAGCTTATCCAATCGTAAGATTAACCGGAGCTTGTCCTGATTAAGTTGTAACTTTTTTGTTGTTGTCGAGGGGATTAAGAAACCACATCATTATCGTAGTAATTTAATGAAAGATTCTCATTCTAGCAGCTATATGTGATCATCAATATTTAGATGCTAATGGTACAAACTACAGTATCTATCTATTCTAAAACACAGTCGCGAAAGTTTTACAGTATAATTAATTAGTTTTTTCTTCATTCATGCGAGCTAATTCCCATTAGAATAGCTTGCGACATGGATAACTCTTAAGTTAAACAGTTCCTATTAATAGCCAAATAAAAGCCTACAGCAAGGAATGATCGTCATTGACGTAAAGAGATTAGTTTCCTGGGCTCATTAAACTAAAAGAATGACAATAATTGATAAAGGAACATTTTGTTCAACAAGTTTCAATAATCAATTTTAGCCACCCTTTACAAATTTTTCCGTCCTGTTCACCTTTATTTATAAAAGAGTCTAATCAGTAATCAATGCTTTCTTAACTTGATTTCATTAGTATGCTTTGGTCTTAACCGGAACAGCGCAGTTAATTTATTTTTCCAAGTAATAAAACGAGGTAAGTTCTTTTTTCCATTTTCAAAAGTAAAGAAAATAATCTGTTTCGAGTATACAATTCAACCAGTATCACCTTGGTGTGACCTATTTGTTTCATTAAAAATCTATAAGATACGACGAGAAACGAATCGACTTCAATCCCTCCTTCATTTTTTTTCCAAATCAGTTCTCCACCGTACGGTAACAGTATTCAGATACTTTTCTGTCCATTTAGGATAAACTAAATTTTCTCTTAACGTTATACACCGATAAAATGGATAACTGGTTTTATTGTAATCATCACACACCTTTAGTAACCAGCTGCTTCAGTAAATCGAACTAATCGTAAAATTGAATCTTCCCCATCAACTAAATCCAAATGTCTTTAATATAAATTTTACGTGGTAGCTTCGAATCGCTTAAAATCAGTCAAAATGCTACTTTTCGCTACTATTTTTAAGACCATCCTAATACTTTATCTCATCGTCGATCCGATCGTTTATTCAAATATACTAACAAATAAATCAAGTGAACTTGCTACCGAACTGTACATTTTTTACCCTTGATATCAATTAGCCAATGCATCGAGCATTAAGAGCCAACTGATAGATTAATCTAAAACTATCCAATTCATTATCTCTGATTCAATATTAGCAATCTACTACAGCACTCCTAACATCAACTACAATATTGATTTGGTTGAATGCCAATCATACTGCTTTTAACTTAAATAGATCAGGACGATGTTAAATTAAAATGAATGAATTCTAGTAACTGCGTTAACTTTTATTGATATATTTTAAATCTCTCTCCACAGATACGAGCATAGGAAATATTCTACATTTATATTCATCTTTTGGAAAAAAGTATCCTCCAGGGATAAAAAAAATTATAATTTTAACTCCTTCTTTATGTTGGGTCTAACGATTGCTATTAAAAAAGTAACAACATTTTATCATTAACTACAATGATTAATCTAAAGAAACTAAGCAAATGGCAGACTATAGCTGTTATTCAATTTATCATCATTCTAGTCTTGATTTTATCCGTTGTAAGTACGTATTGGCTATTTCAACGATCTCATACACAGATTAAAAAAGCTCCTGCAACCCAATACGAAGTTCAATGTCGTTGCGACCGCGATTCTAAGGGAAACATAACGACAACAGATAAAAAAATCTGCTTATATCAATGGACTAATTTTAAATATTGTATCAATGATTTGGACGATATGAGAGAAGTTAGTTTATTTCCGCACAATCCCACAAAATGTCGTAGTGTTGATTCGTTAGAACTGTTTGAAGACACAGAAAATTATGGCCAACGCCTCTTCGGTTATATACATCCGCCGAAAAGTGCATTTTATAAATTCGCTATCGCAGCCGACGATATCGCTGAATTATGGTTAAGTCCTGATAGTAGCCCTGAAAAGATGAAAAAAATCGCCTTTATTGGACCATGGCAAAAAATTAAACCTAATCAATTTCAATTAATTCAAAATCAAGAATCTATCCACATCTATTTAGAAGCGAATAAAAAGTATTCTATTGAAGTATTACATGCACAAGCGGACAAAAAAGGATTTGTTCAGGTTGCTTGGAAGAAAAGCCAACGACCAAATTCAAAGTATACAATTATTAGTAGCCAATATTTGTCCTTAACAAAAAATTACATCTACAACATGCCCGGTTATATTGTTCAACGTTTTCGTAAAGCTGGTCATGGCCTACAAATATGGTATAAGAAGCAAAAAGAAAATGTCCCATTTGCTAAGAAATTCCACTTGTTACCTATGTTGGATCAGAAATATCTCGATGATATTAAATCGAAATGTAGATATAAACCTCCAAGTTATGTCTTACAACCGGGTAAAGCTATTAAATCGTATACCGCACCATTCTATCTTCAACGTATTATTCATCGTGCTTATGGCCATTTTAACTATAGGACATTTTATCGTGATAACTTGGTAACTACAAACGCTATCTTACCCAGTAAAGTAGCTCACAGTCTAACGAAAGCATTTATGAAAGTTTTAAAGAAGAGATCTAAGAGTCGCTTCGAATTAGTTAAAGTACATAATATCGAAGAAAAAGTAGATGGAAAACGTGGCAGTCGTTTTCTATTTGAAGCTGTCTTAATGGATACGACAGAAAATAAATTATATCGTGTTTCGGAATATTTTCAACGAAGTACAGAACCAATGTCATTTAAAAAAGCTAAATTATGCCATTTGACAGATTTATCATGGGATCCAAAGACTCCAGTCTATGTCATAGTTCCAATTAAACAACAAGGAGAATGGATACGCTATCTTATTAATCAATTAAGTCGTTACTACAAGCAAACTCATGATGACCATTTTACCCTTATTATCACCGATTTCAATAGTACTGATGTTGACATTCCAGCGTTATTGAAGTCAAGCTCGCTAAAACACCATTACATGAACATTAAAACTGAAAACTTTCAATTTTCTAAAACTGCAGCAATCAATAGTGCAGCTACATGGATTCGTAACGATGATGCTATCCTATTAATGTATGATTTACATCTTACGTTTCCAGTCGATATGTTAGATAATGTTAGGAAACGATGTAAGCAAGGAAAAGCAGCATATTTTCCGATTGTAACAAGATTAGGTTGTGGCTTTGCACCAAGAAATCCGAATGGCTATCCTGAAATATGGGGATTCGGTATAGCTGCATTTTATAAATCGGATTACGTTAATATCGGTGGCATGGATGATAAAAGGTATCAATTTGAATGGGGTGGTGAAGATTCTGATATAGCAGATCGTACGATATCTAATTCATTAGAAATTGAAAGACTTCTCCATCCATATTTCTTTCATTATTATCATCGTCGACTACCTTGGAAGAAAGTTATAGCAGAAGAAGAGGAAGAAAACAAAGATGTTAATGAGCCTAAAAAAATAAAAGAAATTCAAGCATGATACCATGCAATTTACTTTACACGTATTTATGCTAATGTAGATTATTCATACTACTATAAAATCGAACCAGTAAGAATGTAAATATATCAGGTCCTATATCCGTTCCTAAATAATCTATCCTTAATCTATGCACTATCGAATGGTAAAGTTGTGTACTCCGATAGAAATGCTACATGATAGGCTTATGCGTATTCGTATATTAAAAATAAGCTTATTTTTTAATATATTACGTGATTGAATCTGCCTGACTTCCTTAAAGACTACAATACCATTGCTGATTAATTTTTAGAATTTTAAAATTAAATCTATTCCTTTTTGGATAAGTGAAAGATAGATTATTCGAGATAAAATCTCCTTCATTTTGTTTTTGTTAATTCCTTATCTAACTAACTAAGTGTAACTAAGTTTAACCATATTTTATTGGCAATTGTTTGATAATTATAATGTTTGCTTCCATATAACAGAGAAGTAGAGTTAATAAAGACCTTTGCATCTTCGAATATATTTATATGAAAGTACCCTGATTAGTTTCTTAATCAATTTACAATAGATTGATCTTAGCATTTGAAAGAATATCGACCAAAACGCTACTGCTATTTATGCAGACAAAATAATATTCGAATATTGACCATCTATAGATTAAATACACAATGCATAGTTTACAGCTACGCCGTAGTTACAATATGACGATTATATGATCTTATCGGATAAACTAAAAATAGAAAAATAACATATCAAGTATAATTTATACCCGATTCACGCGTCAAAATCGTTAATAAATAAATATAGAAGCAATATAATTTTCTATTAAAAGTATCAGTTATGACAATATTCAAGACGAGTAAAGTTAAGTTTAAGGCGTTCTATAATTTTCATATAAGATGCTGTATTAGAATTAGTACATTTATAGATCTATATTAAGAAAATACAGGATAATATTGTCCGCCTATTAGTTACGACAGGATTCTAGGAAAATAGTAACGTCTAATTGGAGACATTTTATTATAGAAGTTCCAGCACAGTAAAATTAAATCGCTATCTTTATCTAGAAGATAGTAGAATATCGGGATGTTAATCTAACTATCATGGCAACATTCGAGAATAATTTTTACCCTTTAATAATGTTTTATTTTAAACATACCATGTAAGCTATACGTTTCAGGAGTATTAGAGCGAAGAAAACTTGAATGAACTTACTCGTATGTAATCCAATACTATAAGTTTAGTATCTATAACTAGATATATACGTAATTCTGTATAAAGAGTAATAAACTAGTCTTTTACGGTGTAAGAATTCTGTTCTACACGCCGTACTCTATCGTTGTAATGTTTCCATTACAATTCTTTCCTTGCTAAGTAACTCAGTAATTTATCTACACAAGCTTCCATGGTAGAGAACGATGGTAATGATGATATAAAGTAGGATGGCAAACTCGTTCTACATCTAAATTATGAGTAAAAATAGAATTAACCATCTGAACATCTTCGCCTCCCCATTGCTCTCGATAATTAACACTATCGTAACCACCAGTACGTTTGAAATCATATTTATACATGGCTAATATACCATAGCCAAAAATTTCTCGGAATCCGTTAGGATGACTTGGTGTCGCATAACAATTTAATCGTAGTATGATAGGTGTATAAGCGGTTTTACCCTTAAAACATCTCTTTCTAGCATTATCAAGTATGTCCATAGGAAAATTAAAATGTAAATCGAATATTAATATAATACTGTTGGGATCATCGATTGCCTCGATTGCGGTATTTAACCCAATCGTTTTAATAAATTTAGGATATTTCTTACCGAGTTGAATTATTTTAAACTTCTTTAATGGACTACGATCGAGTTCATCGCGAATATTAATATCTGTACTACCGAAATCGACTATAATAATACTGAAATACTCATCATGACTCTGAATATAATATCGATTAACTTGATTAAGAAAGTACTTAATCCATTGGCCTTGCTGTTGAACAATAATAACGACATAAACATGAATACGTTGATGCCATTCCATGTCTATTAATTTACATAATTGAGAATTTTGATTAGACAAATAGAGGTAATCAGATACACGCCATAACAGGTGAGAATCATAACGTTTCAGTAATAACTCAATATAATAACGTTTTCCTTGACCATCATTTATTTTCTCTTCTACCTCAATAATTTTAATTAATTTATAAGTGCGATTCGATGCTCTATCCAATGCTTGCATATACCGATTAACGATGGACAAGGCTTTCGCTTTATTCAGTTGAGGACTACACCGTTGAACCTTATCGCCATTTAAACTAATAAAGTCTAGTCGGCCGTAAAATCGATGCCTAACGATACCTCGTGCAAGATAATCCCCTTCCCAGTCTTTTACTGGTTTTCTATGATGGCTAATATAAGATGGCACTACATAATGACATTTAGGTAGTAGATTGCGTGTCATTACTGCATCAAGTAATGGCTGTGTGTATGTTGTATAGTTATTATTTGCCACTGTTATATTTAATTTTCGAACTTCTTGATAGCCAATATTTATCCTATAGATTTGGTGGCTTCTGCTATTGCTATGATAGATTGGAGACGATGGTAAGCGAAGGTAGCGCTTATCGAGGAATTCAAATCGAGTACGAGTAGCTCCATCGAAATATCGCCATTGGATTGCAGCATATCCTCTCATAGCGATATTTGCATGCAAAAATTCAACCAAGTAGGATCGATTTTCCTGTAGAGGAACTGAAGTAGAAATTAACTCACGTCTACTATCATCTTGATGCTTAATGCTAATGATACGCCTTAACTGGGCTGGATGTGAGCTATTACTTAACCATAACTCAGCTTCTCCGGTAGTAATAACATTAAACTGATAATAAGCAGTTTTAGGTGGCCTTATGAGACCAAATATTCTCTCTCCATACAACTCCATTGTATTAGACCACTGGGTTAGATTAACAAGCTGGCAAGAAGTTGGTCTGTTCGGAAATGATGCTAGTTGTCTCATATCATCAATCTCGGAGATGCAATCTTGTAAATTTTCCCATCGATAATGATACAGATATTTATCGTAGTTAATATTAGGAGTTTTAGAATTGCGTAGTTGACAAGTTAAATTTACAGATCTTATATCAGGTGATTTATCTTTCCATTCTTTGCTTCGAGAGATTTTTATACTTGCATTTTGAATAAATCTTTTTAGACTAGAAAACTTGTAAGATTTATAATCGTATAGATAGTATAATAGGAAGATTTCTAGTATTAGTATTAGTATCAAAATAGTTCTTGAAATATTGAATGCCAGCTTAATTTTTATACCGAAAGTTAAATCCATTTACTAAATGAATTGACGTCGCAATAATTTTACATTATTATGGATGAAACTTTTCCTTTCGGATAAATCGATATTGGTGCAGGCCTATATCGAAAATGATAAAACCATACGATGTTTATCTTCAGATTTTACGCAGATGAAAGGTTAATACGAGTATCTTGTCTGAATAAAATCAAGATCTAGTGTAAACAATTTGCAATTCATAGAATTGTATATATCATCGACTTATTCTTCATTTATACGTACGACTTATCGGTCTTCGGGAGCTAGATGATAACTAATAGCGTTGGATCCATTTTCCATGTTCTCAAGGTATTAAAATTCTTGATATTGAGAAAGGATAATCAATTAATATCCAGCTTTATATTGAAAGAGATTAACGTTAAATATCCAAATTCTTTAAAGGCAATAACTTACAAGCTTGATACTATCTATAAATGGGCAAAACATTACTCATATATTAATTTCTTATACTACAGTATATCAGAATGCTTTGAGAATTATTTCTACATCAATAAAAAAGTATCCAATTTATTCAGTTCTGTATCTTAAGTTTGGGTGATTGATTCTACATCTATACTTTATCCATTTTTAGAAATTAGATATCGATTTATTTCCTTATATGTTTCTTTGTTTTACCTAAAATCCTTACTTAAATTGTGTGGATGAGACCATTTACTCGTAATTCGTAATAATACGTGCGAAAGAAAGATTTTTTGAAGGTAGAAAATCCGATCGTGATGGATATAACGTAACTAACAGGTATGATGCTATCAAGTGAATAGTAATAGTATTACATGTATTGATTTGGATTATATACTACTTTCAGAATCATTTTAACATCGATGGCCAGTTATTTTAAAAGAAACTGTTCTTGTAGTATATATAGGAAGAATTAGAAATAGTAATGATAGGTATCATGTGATCTTTCGGTAGGCCTTGCATTGGCTAATTTTACCGTTATGATGGAGTGGAAATGGCAACAGCTGCACCGCAATTTAATCGCCGCAGAAGCTGAAATGGCACAATATGCTCCATCAATGGCATGCTAGTACAAAAATGTTGCTATGCTTATTATAAAACATCAGTATTATTGAGAAGAACAAATGAAAATGATAAGAGCCGCATAATAATCTTCTAAAACTAGCTCTTGCCATTATCATTACCTTCGAGAAATGCAGAGAAAACGCGATACATTTAAATCTTCAACCAAGTCTAAATCTTAACAAATCTATCCATTCCAGAAATATCTATGTCGTTCATTGGATGGCCAAGAATGGTTTAATTATATATAAAGTCATTAAAAATAGGATTAACTTGTATAAAGATCTTTCAAATACGAATCAATTTGTGGTAGCCATCTGGTTATGGTTTATTTATTAATTGTCGACACATTACAAGCCTACTCATTGCACCAGTGTTGCTTGTCGCAACATCGCCTATCCTGTAAACTACTGGTTGTTACCTTGTAGTGTATGCGCCATAGAACGTTGGGAATCCTAGATATCGTACAATACTATTTTTAATTTTATTATATATATATGTATTTACGGTTTATCTACACCTTATCTACTTTACTAGATTAAGATCACATGCCACAAATATTCACGTGCATTAGGATATAGTATTAAAGTTATGTTCGTACTAGAGCTGATTTGTTGTCACAGTTCTTATGTTTCGTTAACGTGTGTATGATATCGCGCTTGGCGTGGGCTTCCAAATAAAGTAGACTAAAGGAAAGGAAAGCTCAAAATCTCAGATTCTGGATCTCGTTACATTGCTAACTATGCAATAGATCCTAAACCATCTAATACAGTATAGTGGCTGTAAAAATGAAGCAGGAAGCACATGTGATTTCTATCATCATGGCTAATGCGTTAAATCGTCAATTAGTCATCATGGCATTAATCTTATTCTTACTTATTATGATCTATAGTTATAAATTAATTCACTTCCATTTAAATGATTGCTTCAAGCCTAACTTTGAAGGATTATGGAAACTTAAATTAGTTCATCATCCACCCATTGCACAATCGGACTATTGCATTAGTCATCCATCGATGACTAGGCATGGTAAACTTTACTTATACCGCTGGGAAGATCTGCATGATTGTATCCATGAAATTGATGATTTAAAAGAAATTTCATCATTTCCGAATCATCCAACATTGCATACATGGGTTAATCAAACTCAATGGTCTTACCCATTAGAACTATATGGTGAACGCGCTTTTGGCCTACTAAGGCCACCTAAAACGGCGTACTATCAGTTTCGCGTTTATACAACTGGCATTGCTGAATTATGGCTAAGCACTGATCATAATCCTTCTCATCTTAAACATATTGTCACTAAAAGTCGTTGGCAAATTGATGATCAATCAAGTAATATAGTAGCCTTAAAAAGGGAAGAAGATTATTTTATAGAAATTCTTCATACACAGGCTAAAGTTAAAGGAAATGTAATTATCCAGTGGCGATACTTTGATGGTCGAAATCAAACATCATTTCAGGTAATTAACAGTTCTTTTTTATCCTTACCACGTCAATGCAGTTACAAGTCCAATAGCCATCAACCAAAGCGAATAGTCCGACTTGGTAGCCAAGTTAAGAAACTAAATATTGTTAAACATCATGTTACCGTTAATAACCAATCCTTGCTATCCTTAAAGTCATTACTAGATGTTGAAATTCGAAGACAAATTTTACCCGATTGTCCTTATTCTACACCAACAAACATACAAAGAATTACTAAACCAATGGTAGATTTACAAGGTCCAACATTCGTGTATTTAATGCGTAATCATCGGTTTTATGGTCGAAACGATTTTGTATACTATAATGACGATAAAGCTGTAGCTTGTAATTCGCCGTTAAGTCGTCCATTAGCGCTATCCATTATTACAGATTATATGACCAACTTGAGGTCTAAATTAAATCGTACCTACTCTATTGTTGAAATTATTAATGTAGAGGAGAAAATTGATTCTAGAGCAAGTAATCGTTACTTTATAGAAATGTTAATCCAACATTCTAAGAGTAAGGCAATTTGGCGAATTGCAGACTATTTCTATCGAAACAAGGAATCTAAGCAATTATGTCGAATTAATCAACTTGAATGGAATCAACAGATTCATGTTAGCATTATTTTAGCGATTCAGCAGCAGGGTTACTGGGTTCAATATTTTCTTCATCAAGTTAATCAATACTATCAAACCAGCCATGATGAATATTTTAGTGTTGTCTTGGTTGATTTCGGCAGTACCGACATCGACATTCCAGCCTTATTGCGTAGCAGCTCATTTAAGAAAATTCAGTTAGTCCAATTAGGACGTAAACATAAACGATTTAGTCGAAGTGCTGGTATCAATGCTGGCGTTCAAGCCATTAATAATCGTCGCAGCATTATTGTAGCTTATGATTTACACTTAAATTTACCTCTTGATCTAATTGACAATGTTCGTAAGCGTTGCTTTCCCGGTAAAACTGTCTATATGCCCATTTTACTACGCTTACACTGTAATGCATCACCGAATGATCCAAATGGGGAATGGGAAGAGTATGGATTTGGTATTATGGCACTTTATCGAGAGGATTTTCTGCGTATTGGCGGTTATAATGCATCACAGTTTCGTTATCGATGGGGTGGTGAAGATTCTGCATTCCTTAATCAATTACTTTATCATCATTACGATATTGAGCGCGTTTGCCATCCCAAATTATATCATCATTTTCATCGACGATTACCATGGAAGAAAGGTACCGTAGACGATTTTGTTGCTAATGTTGCTCTCTTATTTCATATTTGATCATATAAGGAAATTGTGGCAAGATATTCCATGGATTTATTGTGTATATCGGTTTGCTCAATTTATTTTTCCTAATCCATCTCAATTTTACTTTCGGTATAGATGTCTATGTAACTTATCGCAAATGATCTGGTCTTTTCATTTTAGAGAGGAGAAATAATTTTTCGGTAAAGTCAATTTCATAAACTATTTCCACCTACTTTCCTATTTCATGGGATATAAGGTTTACCTTTAATTGTCTGATTATAGCAAATTAATATCCCTTGATGCACATAGCAGTATGTAGGTAGCTTATTGAGCCTTGTTAATGCTGTCCAGGAAGATTATATTGTAAGTGATACTAAAATCTGAACCCTCAAAAAAGTGATACGATGTGTGGTCTATTTCGTGGAATATAGAGTTTACCTGCGATTATCTGTAATAAATTGCTACTACAGGAAGATTTTTATTTCAAAGAACTCTAACTGATTAAAAAACTATACTATATCCGGTTTATAAAATGAATAAAGTAAGATTTCTCTGCCGTATTTACGAGGTTATTTTTTGTAAGGAAAATATAAGTACGAGTATATATTGATAAATGCTATAATAATTTGACGAGTTAATGTGTAAAGATCTTATTGAATGTTGATAATATTGTTGTATATGACCTTACTTCTAAATTGATTTCAAAGATTGTGAACACAGTATAACTGTCGATAGCATGTGCGATATTGTTCAAGAATATACTGTTAAATCGATTTAAAAGTATATGTAATTTCTATAATACACAATTGCCAAGACATGGACGAACTCCAGATATGGCAAAATTGACGTAACTAAGTGCGGATTGAACCTTGATACTGCTAATCTATAAGACTTTTACTTTCAAATTGATTTAAACCATTGGTAAAATTATCAAGGTAATCTATCGTATCTGTAATTTCTCTGCACCAATGTATACGGTGTATGATCATATAACTATTCTGATGAAATGCTGCGATAAGCGTATTTCAACATTCGAAAAAAACCCTAATAAAATCGTGATGATGGAATAGCACAAGCCTTATTAACTCTTGATATTAGATCTGACTTTAATTTATACTGTTTTTTTGCTATGGAGTATGGAAATTTTTCTGTTTTCCTAATCAATACTATAACCTAGTGGTCTGTAATAAACTATAAAAAGAACGCGATTCTATTCCATGAACAAGTGCTTGTATGTCAATAAAGGCAACAGATGTTGACCCTATTAATCACGCATTGAACACTTGGAAAATCTCTGTTTTAGATTTTTGCTGAATAAAGACTATATTGCTGACAATCGTGATCACGTAGTGAATTTTCTATATCGGTTAGCCATAAAAAACGTAGCGTCTTCCATTTCTGCTAAGATAGACAGAGTAGATGTAATTGAAAACTTGCGGACTTTTTCTTTATTTCAACTCTGCCATCGATATAGTTTGAATTCAACCTTTTGCATTACTAATATTTAGCGAACTTTTTTAACACTTTTTAATCGGTTAAGCTAGCATAGTCCAGGCAAAATCTACGAATTTAGATGGAACTGTTTTACCATTAAATTTATTTCAACCTTACAATCTACGTGATTCGAATTCGATCTGGTGAATGACAGAAACTTTTAAAACTTTTTTAGCAAATTAATTATAATACTTGCAATATCGCTTACTCTTTTGTCGGCTAGTTTTAAAAGAAAGCCATTTATCTTTGATTAATTTCAGTCTTGCTACCCGTATTTATGCGGTTTTAATTCAATTTGGTCAATCGCTAATGTTCTCACGACTCTACCCTAAAAACTACCTAAGTAATAACCGAATGGATTATTGGTACTTTCATCATTATTTCCTCATGAAATTATTTCGATGACAGTGAAAATTTGTGGCTTTAGAATTACCAATTGCTTGGAATGCATTATACCATATTTTCTTCCAATACTATAAAAATCTATATCAAGCTACAGTATAATGAAGGTGGAATTTATATTTTTACAACTGATTGTCATTATATTTATCGTTATTTTTTACTTTGATTTTGGAAGTGATACCCGCCGGCCTATGCAGTTATTGATTAATAATTTCAATCAGACCAACTTAGGCGCACTAAGGATAAAGTCCAAGGTAGGCTCAATTTCGTGCCATTGCAAGGGACAAACACCTAAAGATTTCGACGGTAAATTATGCTTATACCAATGGATTAATCATAATCGATGCCTAGAGCATATCGATGATTTGAAGGAAGCAAAGACATTTCCTTTCCAACCTTTACATTGTCGGTCAGTAGACAGACTACAAGTTGATCAGTCGCCAGTTAACGTTGGTAACCGAATAGTAGGTTTTATTCATCCACCATTCAACGCTTTATACACATTTGAACTTGTCAGTAAATCCAGCTGCGAGTTATGGTTAAGTCGAGATAATACCAGTCGGAATATATTTCGTATTGCTCATACTTTTCTAGGTTCGCAAAGGATGAACTTGAGGATTAAATTACCAACAAAAAGCCCGTGGATTTATATGGAAAAAGGTCGTCAGTATTGGATAGAGCTTTTACAAGTGACTGGTAATACAAAATCATTTTTAGCAGTCAAATGGAAATATTATGATGGAAAAATTGAGAAAAATTTAGGCGTAATCAGTCATCGTCATATATCATTATTGCAAGAAGATGATATAGCCAATTCGGTAGCTCAGAAACAAGCTAGCCATCACGTTGAAGGGTGGAAAATTGATTGGAAATCATTTCATCTACCTTACCAAATTAATTACCAACTTAATCGAATCGTTCAATTTTATCATCTCCAACGATTCGTAATATCGGATGGTATCATTCATGCTAGTAGCTTACAATACTGTCATAATCGCCTTCCTAATTATTTATTGACAACTCGAAATCGCTTTCAACAAGTTATGGCGGTAGCATATCGTGTATTTGGTGATGAATTTCGCAGCTATATTTCTCCTGTACGTGGAAAGATTGAATTAATTCCTGCTCTAGCTCAAGGAGCTGCTAAAAGCGTTGTTCAAGACATCTTTACAAGATATCAGAGTTATTATAACCAGATAGGCAAACCACTAACATTGTTACAGACTATTCGCGTTGAAGAGAAGCTAGATCCATCCGCAGGAAGTCGATATTTTATCGAACTAAAAGTTGCCCAAGGTAGCCAACATTACCAGTTGTCGGAGTACTTTTACAAAAATAAAACCAATCATCAGTGGTGTTATGACGCCGACTTTCAATGGTCCAACACTGCACCTGTGAATATGATCATGATGATTAATCATGATCACAAGTATTCACTTGTACTACGAGCAGTCCTGGAAATCGAGAAATGGTATACCCAAAGCCTAGATAGCGATTACTTCACACTTACGATTATAGACAAGGGGTTTACAAGTACTCCTAAGATTAAAGCGAAATTACAGAAAAGTAGACTAAAGAAAAAATATTTCTGGATCGACGATACTGCCCAGTCAAGTGATATTATTTCTCCGTTAAAACAGGTTCTTCAACAGCCTATTAATCTGACTAATAGTATCCTATTCTATTTTGATCCTGCTGTCCATTTTTCAAGCCAGTTGATGCAAGAGATTCGGAAAAAGACGATAGAAGGTAGACAATGTTTTGCGCCATTGGTTATTAATTTAAACTGCGGATTCAACTTCCAAAGACCGGATGGATACGTTGATCGTGATTATTATAATATCCTTTCTTGTTATATCAGTGATTATCAAGGGATTATTCATCAAGACAAGCCTGTAAAAGCTTTTGCTATGCTACTTAGAAAGTTGATAGAAAATGAATTAGACATCGAAAGGACTAGCTACCCATTACTATTTCGACAATATCGTCATGATTAGCAATATGACAGTGAACCACACTATCAGCATTGAAAGGCATCCTAATGCTTTCCTAAGATCTGCCTATCATTGTTCTACGCATAGTGGGTGTTCAATTTGAAAATTTTTACCTTAAAATTAAGTTCACTAAGAGAGCTATTTGTTACCTAATACATGATTTTGACTTGCTGTAAATATCTAATGTAGGCATCATAGTCATAACTGTATGCATCCCAAATTTATAATTTCTATCAATAATTAATTAATGCTCTATTTCACGCTGTTGCTTGCTTATTATCTCCTTGGTTTGAAATACTATATATGTAATTCTAATCGCGGAATATGTAGAACTTATTACACGATATCCTGAATTATTAAGAATTTCTACGGTAAGAGTATAGAAGTAAAAATGGTGAAGAAGACCGTATATAATCTTGTTGTATAGTGTTATACAGTATAATTTATAATAATACGATGGTTAAGAGCTAAACCACATTGCTGTTGAATTCATGCACGTATTAGCTAGCCTTCTTGACTATTATTTCTAAACTGATGGAGCTCAGGTAACACATAAGAGTAGTGTATAACTTATTCCTATTAAAATTATTTATAAATGAGTAATTTTAGATGCGTTCATTAAGAGTTACACAAGTATGGCAATGTACTGTGTTCATATATGTTGCATGATACTGTTGTGACTAGTTTTATTAAAAGAACTCGTTTAGTAAATATGCATACGGTAATGGTGAAAAAAGGCTTGATGATATAATTACTATCACACACCATTAGTGACAAAGTAGTCTACAGACGCCAATGCTTACGAAGAACGCCTGTTGCTGAATTAAAGAGGCGAAATTCGCTCTATCAATCACCAAATAATTTAGTTTCAACGACCGAATACTATAGTATAATTCTAAAGTCTACATTAGCTAAAATTTCGTTGCAATAATATGGTTAAGATACAATAAAAGGTTGGTCACAAGCAAGTAAATTTAGGTACGTTAAGAATGACGCAGGTAGAGCCATAGGGTATTAGTTCATGGTGTTGGATGACATTGTCGTAAGTATTTCAGTGAAGAGACTTGCTCTATTTATTATTTAGCACATCCCTAATTCTGAAATAGGCTTGATGATAGGATTAGTAGTATAATACAATTCAGCCATGATTCATCATACCTAAGATAAATCTCTATTAATTGAATATCTTTGTTAAATTATAATTAGTTGGTCATTTCCTATACACCCAATCGTGCGTCGCCACTAGGCTCATGGATTAAAACTGTTAGTAAATATTCTCGAGGTGCATTGAAGGTAGCACAGCTATAACAATATCTTATTTACGTATGTTGTTGGATGACAGTATCGTAAACATTTCTACTTGAGGCATTTACTATTAGTTGTCCTCATTGCTGAAAAAGATGACCATTTAGCAATATGATTGCCAGCATAATACAGTTTACTAGCAGAGCCTGTGATATGATTTTCGTGAACTGAATGTGATAAGCTATCTTTATAATAATAATAAAACAAGAAGTACAGTTTCTTGTAAGCTTCATTTTATTATTACATAAATTATTTGTAATCTTAAGCTAATTTGGGGCTGGACTACACTGAAATATCATTGCAAATGCGCCTTTTGAAATAGTTAGTGAAACTTAAATTTTGAAATATATTAAGCTGCATTTGAGAATATTACGACCTTGAATTGATGTTTACCATCATAGACGGCGTGCATAATTTACCTTCAATAATAAATAACGACCTACATCATGTTGTATCCATCCATGCTCAAGGATTGAATCTTAACAATATCATGATTCACAGGTCGACCTGAATTGGTTGGTAATTATAATTCAATTAGTAAGCGTTGCAAAATTGGTAGTTTATATCATGTATGAAACTGAAATAGGTTTCAATCTTCAGATTGCGATTGCAGTTTGTTTAAAGACTTGAAATTAAATAGGTCGAGATAGGCAGCAATGTGAAAGTTGCACACAGAATGGGAGATTTAACTAAGGATTCTTGTATCATCATGTCCATGTGCCTTATAGATATTGTTTGACTTGACCTTACCTACGAGCATAAAATGTAAATTAGCAAATTATAATCTATGTTGATATTGATATGCAGCACTGTAACATGGCGTGTTGGCAACTGATGTTTTACTCTTGTGGCCTATGATATCATTATTTACGCACTTATTTATTTGTTTTAGTTTATTTATTCCAATCATGAATTCCAGCAGCATTTTTACGGAATCAGCCATATTTAATTGGACATTGGAACTTGCAATCCATCGGATAAGAGTAACACAGCGAACGTTTTAACAAATACACAAAGTATATGGTCAACAGCGAAGAGATATCCGTCTTGGCATGAACTAGGATCAATCAAATGCCTGAATAAGGCATAGCGTGTTGTAAAAATATTTCTGTACTCTAATTTAATATACGCTAATATCAGAGTTATATGCGCCCAGTAAGTCTTCTACATAGCAATTGGGGTTGTTTTAAAGTTCTTTGGATCCTATTTTTGTATATTCTATTTTGTCAATACATTCTCCGTGAAATCTTCCGCAGACTTCTCTTTAGGCCTATCGTATTGCATAAAATGGCAGCACTATTGATGCTGATTAGACTTGATGGGCCGAGAGTTCAATCGCCCGTAACTTTCTATCATGTGAGTTATTCCTACAGAAATCTCCAGATTGACCTAGTTTGCTTTAACTATTTCTAGTCCATTGACTACCGTTGCTATCTAAAAATGATTCAAGCTGTCAGATAGATTGAACCATTTCTGGTCTATCAACTATCGCGGCTGTTTAATTAAAAAGGGAGAATGAGTAGTTTTGTATTTAAAAAAGTGAAGACTTCAATTTCATAGCAATGGTATGAAATTTGCGTTCACATTTTTTTAATACAATACTATTCATTCTTACTTTATTCATTTTCCCATCCCTCCAAAAACAACTCAGTCACCAGATACAGTCAATTGCGATTTTATGGCATTTACAGCTTACTCAAGATTTTTTTATCCATTCATTTATGCTAGTAATTTACTTAGCCGTCAATGATAAGAACCATTTCTAGCTCATCCACCATCGTATCTATCCAAAAGTTTATTTAGGCTGCAAGATAGATTATAATGTTGTCCGAGCTTCCTCGAAATTGATTACCTATTCATTTACACGGGTAATTTGGCAGAAATAACAGCCACTCAATATCGTCACTCATATGAAGATATGCTTAATATCGGACGAGCATCCATGTCTGGTGAAGATGTGTCTATTCTACAGGAACATAGACTACTGGAAATTTAAAGTAGAAATTTGAAGTGGTCCTTAGCGTGTAGTGAAGATGTGTTTATTCTACAATAGACTGCTGGAAATTTAAAGTAGAAATTTGGAGTGGTTCATAGCGTGTAGTGAAGATGTGTTTATCCTACAATAGACTATTGAAAATTTAAAGTAGAAATTTGGAGTGGTCCATAGCGTCTAGTGAAGATGTGTTTATTCTACAATAGACTATTGAAAATTTAAAGTAGAAATTTGGAGTGGTTCATAACGTCTAGTGAAGATGTGTTTATTCTACAATAGACTATTGAAAATTTAAAGTAGAAATTTGGAGTGGTTCATAACGTCTAGTGAAGATGTGTCTATTCTACAGGAACATAGACTACTGGAAATTTAAAGTAGAAATTTGGAGTGGTCCATAGCGTCTAGTGAAGATGTCTTTATTCTACAATAGACTATTGAAAATTTAAAGTAGAAATTTGGAGTGGTTCATAGCGTCTAGTGAAGATGCGTCTATTCTACAGGAACATGGACTACTGAAAATTTAAAGTAGAAATTTGGAGTGGTTCATAGCGTCTAGTGAAGATGCGTCTATTCTACAGGAACATGGACTACTGAAAATTTAAAGTAGAAATTTGGAGTGGTTCATAGCGTCTAGTGAAGATGTGTCTATTCTACAGGAACATGGACTACTGAAAATTTAAAGCAGAAATTTGGAGTGGTTCATAGCGTGTAGTGAAGATGTGTCTATTCTACAGGAACATAGACTACTGGAAATTTAAAGTAGAAATTTGAAGTGGTCCTTAGCGTCTAGTGAAGATGTTTTTATTCTACAATAGACTATTGAAAATTTAAAGTAGAAATTTGGAGTGGTTCATAGCGTCTAGTGAAGATGCGTCTATTCTACTCGAACATGGACTACTGAAAATTTAAAGTAGAAATTTGGAGTGGTTCATAACGTCTAGTGAAGATGTGTCTATTCTACAGGAACATAGACTACTGAAAATTTAAAGTAGAAATTTGAAGTGGTCCTTAGCGTCTAGTGAAGATGTGTTTATTCTACAATAGACTATTGAAAATTTAAAGTAGACTACAGGAACATAGACTACTGGAAATTTAAAGTAGAAATTTGGAGAGGTCCATTATGGTATAGATCGCAAGACAAAAGTGTGGCCACTACACAAGCTCTACCACCGGGATGTGTTTGACCTGGCGTTGACGCCATCTTGCAGCAGTAAATGACTCTTGTATTCTAATATGCAGCAGTGAATGACTGTTGTATTCTAATATAGCATTGTAATGGGTGGATTGCATGGTGGTCGAATACTGATTTCTATCATCTATAGGTGAAGATTGTCATCTTCAAGAAAGAGGGAAGTCTTTATTGACTTTGGATAATTGCTAATTAATTGGAGAAGAAGTTTTTGGAACCTTGCTATTGTTGAACAATCGATACAAATCGTAGCCATAATACGAAAACATGGCTTTCACCACTATGCATTACTATACTAGCTTTGATGGAGAGAGACGACGACTAGTCCAGTCGACCACCTATAGCGTTGTATTGCAGCCATTATCCCTATCAAAGCAAATCTCTGATCAAGGTATCTCCATTTCTAGCCTAACCCGAGGCATGTTTCCGCATGACTACTATCTACACTATAATGCCATTTTCTGAGGAAGAATGAGTCAATCAATCATTATGGATACCATCAATAGGCGGAGGCTGGAGTGCCAATCACTAAGCCGTTCTTCGTCTAGCATCTATAGTCCAAAGAGATCGTGAACGGGACAGTACCTTACTACAACTTCAATAATCGTCGTCGATCAGTGGCGATCATGGCATCCTCTCGTCGTTAGTCTATGACTGTGGCTGATATCAATCGATTGAATCATTTGTTAAATTATATAGAAGCCTCTTTCATCGCTAGCTGTTGAAATTGATCACTATTAAAACGCGATTAAACTGTCACAATTGCTATAGTCGATGATCGAGTTGGCATCAGCAATTACTGTTGATTATCTTGTTGTTAATCAACTGGCTGGAGTTGATTTGTTGAAGTAGAGGGGATAGATGCTTGGTTGGCATAATGTATCATACAACAGTATAGAATAGATCAAGATGGCGATGGTAAATCAATGCGTACCATCTAGATCATGTAAGCCATTTAGAATTTCTGCTTGATTAACAGTTTAATAAATCCAATTTTAACGGCAATCGCTATTGCAGTAAACCCTCGATCAAGTAGAAATAACATCCATTGCAATGAGAATCATGCAACTTTTCCATAGCGACGACGATTTACTCTCATGTTGAAATCATCTTGTCGGTTCGAGTTGATTGAGTCAGTAGCCATCATCGTTATTCCCTCCATTCCAGTGATTGATCACATTTCGATAGGGAATACCACTAGTTATCGAATTGAGCAAGGACAATCGATTTCAATTGGTTAGCGTCCATTCCAATTGATTGTGGCTAAGTAGCGTTAGATGTGCAGGGGAGATCGACTGTTCTGATCGATGGTTAGAATTTCCAACCAATAAAACATCTCCAAGATAAACTATCGAAGAAATAACTAGTAAATCAATCTACAATCCTTACCCTTTTAATTCGACATGATGAAACGTACGGTGATTAAATTTCTTTTATTATTACAACTTGCTGCTGTGATCGATTTCGCTATTTTATTAATCTATCAGCGTAAACCATTTTTCTCAACGTCACGATCAAGTATACAATCTGAAACGATTCATGATCTTACAATGGAAATTAACCAAATCAATAACGATAACAATAATTATCAGAAGAATACCAATAATCACAACATCAACAACGTAAATGGTTGCCCTTGTAATATCGATCCTAATGATAAAACTCGTGGCCGAGGGAAATTATGCTTATATCGGTGGGAGAATTTCACCGATTGTATAGAAGATGTCGATGATTTACGTGAATTGAAATATTTCCCCAATCGACCCTCAGTTTGCCATGCTATAAATCAATTTCGCTATTTCTATGATCTTGAAATTTATGGTCAACGAATATTTGGTTATATTCATCCTCCTAAAGATGGTTATTATGCCTTTGTCTTAACTACCAATAGTTTCGCCGAGTTATGGCTCAGTAATGGTACTCAACCAAGCAAAGCCAAAAGGATCGCTTGGGTAGAGCCATGGCAAAGACCGTGGGATGTCGAATTCCCTGAGAAAAGATGGCAATGGGTTGAGACACAATTATCGGGCTGGTTTTATTTATACGCTAATCGGCCTTATTTTGTTGAAGTATTACATGGTCAACGCTTAGCCAAGGGATATGTTGAAGTAAGGTGGAAATATTTTAATGGTCGTTTTCAATCTTTGCCTCAAGCCATTCATACAGATTACTTATCTCTCTTTCCTCATTCACCGAATTATCATTCACCTAGTCATATGGTCCAACGATTTGTCAAACCAGGTATTGGCATTAGTAAAGTATTTCGTAAGCCAGAAAGCAACTTTAGTCGTAACTATCATGTTATACCTAAAATAGCTCATCGTAATCTCATTGTTTTACCGACATGTCGCTACTTTCGACCCACTTACATTGTCACGAAGAAAACTAGATTACGCACTTATGGTGCTGTCAATAAATTACAAGAAATTGCACACATGGTCCAAGGTAAATTCGATTATAAAATATTTGATCGTGACCGCTTACGATCATGTAATCGTATCGCCAGTGCAAAACGCACCAATTCACTTGTTGCACGATTTATGACAGCTTTAAATGATAAGTATCGCAACCAATATACCTTAATAGAAAATGTTGGCGTTGAAGAGAAAGTCGATCCTCGTCGCGGTAGCCGACTCTTATTCGATTTGGTAGTCAAAGATAATACCAACCAAAAAATTCAACGCATCTCCGAGTACTTTTATCATCGTAAAGTTTCACAAATTCTTTGCTTAATCAGTGATGTGGTCTGGAATCCTATTACCCATGTTCATATTTGCTTGGCTGTTAAAGGCCAATCACGTTGGGTGCGTTATTTTATCAAAGAATTAAGTAATTTCTACCTCCAAACTGGCGATAAACATTTTAGTGTCATTATTGCTGATTTTGGCCGTGATTCTAATGAAAATTTGGATGTATTAAAAGAATTGAAAGCTAGCCCTTTACAAAATTATAAAGTCATACCTATGTATAAAGATTATCAAAATTTCTCTAAAACGATCGGTATGGATACTGCTATACGCAGTATCGATGATCCCGAAAGTATAGTATTACAGTATGATTTACATATTAATTTCCCTCATGATTTATTAGATAATATTCGCAAACGATGTATTCGAAAAAGAAGTGTTTATATGCCCATTATTGTTCGATTATATTGTGGGCATAATTTATCCAATCCTAACGGATTCTACGAAAGAGATGGATTCGGTATTATGGCCTATTATAAAGGTGATTATGATGCTCTTGGTGGTATGGAAGTTGAAAAATTTAAATTTAAATGGGGTGGCGAAGATTCTGAAATGGCTGATAGAATACTAAAACATCAAATGGAAATTGAGAGGCTTTGCCACCCTGGGATGTTCCATTTCTTTCATCGTAAATTGAATTGGAAAAATTAAAAAACATATAATTCTCATATGGATGAAAGTGTAAATTGGTTGTATCGTCTACATACGTATTGGTCATTTCCTCATCATAGCTTTTCATTCCATTTTCTACGACATCATTGTAAATATTTTTATTAATACTGTATTCAACCGCTATTCGTCTACAATTCACAATTTTTTTACTTCTCATTTTGTTCATGATAAAGCATAAGAGTCACTGTAACATTTTCTTGACTACTCTATGAATTTATCAGAATAGCTTATTATTAAATTGATCAGATCGGAATGACATTGGTTATATTAATGATAACACCAGTGATATCATCCTAGGCGGTTGGTTCAGTTCTTTTAGCAAATTTTTTGATTTGTTTCCTTTAATCGGGAGCATAGACTTTGTTAAACTTACAATTTTTTCACAGCATCGATTTATCATCAAAATTATCTTATACCTATAGCACACTAACACTCTTAAAATATTCATTTTTGTAGTTTAAAATTTCAATATATATCAATTATATCAAGACACGACTCAAATCTGAATGATTGATTGTTCCATATTCGTACAAACCTTATAAATACCAATATAGTACAATCTCTTTAAATTAAAAAAATGCTAAAATGCTTAATTGATCTTAATAATGACGGCTAGCAACTGTAGCGGAACAGAAAAGATGGTTATAGCAATATTCTTATGAATTATAATTTAGCCTACAATGGATTCAGAACATCAGACTGAAAAGTATACCCAACTCCCCAATTAATGATGAAATAGTTTTCGAATATTTGGCAGACTGATAAATGCAGTGTCTATTTCAGTATTAAAAATTTATTTTGTCTTATTTAATTAATCTGCTGATCAGTGTATCAAAAAAGATATGTTTTGAAAACTAGTAATTGGTTATTGACATTGCAAGTTGAAAATTTTTGTTGATTTATTTATGCTTGTGTAACTGTATTCGTGGCAGTGTAACATATGAAAAATTTATCCTGTGTTAGCGCCTTATCTTACCAGCAATAAAACCTAATCTAATTTAAAGCTGGAAATTTGGAATGTCAGGCGTTATTGTAACAGAAATCAGTCCATTAAACGTCCTATATTGACGTTACACTTTATGGCCCATAAATACTTTCGATCTACACCTTACTTTCTAACTGGCTATGCAAGACCATCGTTAATGTAGTTAACTTGGTCAGATCCAAGAACGTTAGTAGATCTGCAAGAGAAGAAGACTGTAATTAATTAAAACGTTGAATGTTAGTATAGCCCTGGTAGATAAACTACTTGAGAAATATTATTTACCGTTAGTTAATTAGATACAATTATCTGATAAAATTCCCGTATATTCTACCGGTCATTTATTACCACATAGGTATTTCAAAGCTGCAATTAGAATTGTATATCACACCATACACTAAGAATTTGCAGTAACTTAACAATATTACAGTATACTCTCACTATAATTATCTGTCTGATATAGTCACATACTACAATCGCACTATTGAAATTTATTGCAAATGGCAAACGTATATAGTGATTGTATTTGAGAACTACTAACTATTATTACTTAGTTTAAACAAAATTTTTTCGAAAGATTCATATAGCTTCTGCTGATCTCATGATATACCTACTACAGTATGTGAGTCAAGGCAATAGCCCAAATCATTTATTTATTACTAACTGAACCTGCACATCTTCCCGTGCGAATGATTCATCTGACTTTTGATAATTAATATACGTAGGCTAACATTATAAAGCATCAAGCAACTGTAATTATTTTGCCAATACTATTTGGATTGTTTACCTGTACTATCTGGTAGTTAAGTGTATCTGTATTCTATGCCTATAGTAAATGATGACTTTCATTAATAGCATTTATTCATGCTTCGCATTATAACATCAAAGCGTGAAAATTCTGGACTTTGGACTTTTGAAGAAAGTAATTAATGAATGAATTAATTATAATAATTATTAAGGCGCTAATACCATCATCTATACGTATATGTATAGAATCTCATCAATAACTGACTAATGCGATGTACACGAGATGAGTGTATCTGCAAGTATCCGCAAGTAGTTGTAATTAAATTATTTTATTATTGCTGCTAACGTTCCCCTGCCAACTCCATTCTACTGATAACAAAACAAATTTACTTTCTATAATTTTCAGAAACTTTATTAACCGTTCTGAACTTATTTTACTTAAAACTGTAATTGCATTAGTAGGCAACGAATACGCTTCTGGAATATGCTACTTCGTAGGTTGATTCGCATGCTATAGATGTCAATCTGTTTTTAATCCACTTCACTAAGCAGCTAATAAATACGATGAACTGGTACTCCTATTATTGTTTATTGCCATTTTTATTCAATTCATTCCATACGAAACAAACCGTAATTCAATAACAAATGAAAATCTGGAATAACGCTATTACAACCAAATGGTATGATTAGTGTTGGAAAATACGAGTATTATCGCGATCCCTATTCATAACTAATCATTCAGTTTCATAAAACTACGAATAAACTACGATAGATTGTTATTCTCAATATAGTTTATTATTATCTCAATTCATCTAATTATTTTTCATAGCCCAGTATCAGGCAAAAAATGAACAACTACCAGATCATCATGGAAGGATTTAATTAACGTAATAATATTATGATGATTTCTATTAGCAACCGATTACTTTATTTGATCAGTTACGAATATTTACGATCCATCAATCAATGTTTTCATTCGTACTTATTGCCCATTTCTGCTTAATCGATCACTTACTACAATCCGATATCAAGTAAAACCTGCAGTAAAAACCAGCATTATAATTATTATGGAAAGATATAACTGTTGATTCTGCTTCACCAAGTCAAGAATGAGAATGGCCATAATTCAAACCTTTGATGTTGTTGTTATTTCGGCTCAATTATCACTTGCTATGGCCCAATATCGAGTAAAAATGTAAAATTGCATTATCATCACAAAATAACATCATTAGCATGCGATAACATATTATGATGATTCTACTAGCAATCAATCACTAGCTAGTTTATTTGTTATTAAGGATAGTCTTAAATTGATTTCCGTTGTCCTTTAATAAACAGATTATTTCGCTCAACATGTCCATATTCTATACAGAATGCTAGTCATGCCAACAATATGGCAGTAGCTGAAAAGGTAGAGCATAAGAAGAAGAAAGGTAACTTGTTGCGTCATTTTTTACCTTTTAGCCATGAATTATTCTCATTATTAAGAGAACAATATAATGTAGCTCAAATGAAGGTATCTAAATCACGATAATTGGTAATGTACAATGTCGAAATTATTAAATTAAACTATTAGGGCTGGTAATGGCGACTGCTTATCCTTCTTCAAGACGATACTGCTTGCTAGAAGAGCATTACTGCACAAGTGGATAGGATAAATTAAGTATTGACGATAAATTGAAAAACAGAAGCAATTTTTTCTCAGTTAAAATTAATATGCCGTACCGCCATTAATTGATTGACGTTGGTATAGTGTTGAAGATGAAAGTCACAATAGAGCGAAAATGTTGCTCCAAGCTATCAATTGTTATTCATAAAGTAAGAGGCAGTCGAAGCATGTTACTGACATTCTTATCATGCAATCCAGCTATTATTATGGTAAAATTGACAAGACAGCTTGGTAAACTAGTTTAAAATTGTTTAATAGTAAGGATGGAAAGGACTGTAGAATCCAGAAACGGAATCAAAACACCTATCGATTCCAGTTGACTCCCTTTCTTTCCAGTTTGTCACAAAGTTCTTCCAAGCCAGTGTTAATTGCAAGAAAAATCAAAATTTCTTTTGGTCCATCAGTAGGGTAACTGCTACCATAGTTTCAATCAGGTAAAATCTAAAGCTAAACTGAATTTTATGTTATCACCGTGAAATTTTTGATCATTTTCTTTTAAAACTAATGGTGAATTAAAAACATTGCCATTTTTATGTCAGAGGCCTTTCCTTGAACTATATTGTTTTCAGATTAATGGTCTATATTATACTTTAATCACCAATTAATGACTATTAGTACCTGCAATAAATTATAGCTTTCATTCCCATATGTCATAACTCTATCCATGGATACATTTCATATTGCTAAAATACAGGGAAAATAGCTGATATAGCTCTAGTTCATGTTAAATCGAATGGATGATCCATTTCATACAGTTACGGTAGACGTAAATCTTACCTCGAAATATCACTACCAATACTAAAGAACAAGCTACTATTAGAATCTCAAGCGATTTCAATAACTCTCTAGTCTATTTCTCCATTAACATGGTCCCGCTTAATTTTTTTCTCGTCAACACAAATATCCATTTCCAAGAAATTAATTTTAATCTTGTTTACGCTAAGTGCAACATGTGATTTAGGATTGATGCATGAAATTAGCTGGCAATGATATTACTAGAAATGATTTTACATTATTGCTCTATTTATGCTGAAATCGATTCAACAAAGCTAAATGAACCCTATGAAGGAGGAATGTTTAAAAACTGTAATTCGATTTAAAGAGAGCTCTCAAGGCCACCCTAACATTTATGCTTCAATAATTCCATCCAATATTTTTACTTGTGAGAATGGATATCCATTCTAATCCCTTAGTAGCATGTCCATCCTCAAACTTGCTTACATTCCTTACAATAGAAGATTTAGAAATGATAAACGTGATTTTTCTATATATACTTGCATCAAATTAGCTTATATTTTATTATTATTGATGGACCTAAATCCTAAATAGTGTCGAAGTCGTCAATTTTAGAAGGCCTAGAGAAGCTAAATAAAATTAATTCAATAGGTTAATTGCAGTACGGTACTTTCCACCGATTTTAAAATAACGTCACTCATCCCTTAGACTATTTAATAGAAATGTACGAATTTAAGCTTACGATCGATGCATAGATCATTTAGGAATGTTAGATACGCTATTTTCAACCTATACGTGCTTGAAATGATGCTGCGAAGACACTACCCGCAGTAGATATTATGTCTCCATAAGGGGTTCATGGCTGGTAAAGTAAGGCTAAGTTAAGCAAAGAGGCTAAAGATAGCTTCTTTTCGTCGACTTTTTAAGAGTGAATGAGAGTTGTTTCTCTTGCAGCAGTGAAACATTTGCTAATCGTCAATGCTACATTAAATTAGAAATGGCAATTTCGATTTTCGATTAAACTATTAATGCATGTGCTGCATATTTAACGCAGTTAAGCCACGAGTCTAGCTAAAAAATTACTTTTTGTCGATAGATATAATTCTCATGTCTACTTTATGTCTACTTTCAGTGACATTAATGATCAATAGACATTTTAAAGGCAAATCGCGACACATTTCGAGTATACTCGTACATGTCCAGTTTTAACCTTATTTATGGTCTACGCAACATACAATTAGGAATATTTGATGCACTTTTTTATATACTGTACATGCTTAAAATTAGATTGTGATGATACAGTAGTATACAGGTAGCCATATTCTTTCTCCTTTATTTAAGGCAGTACTTGGTGATTTAATGCAGATGCGCCAACGGAAGAAGCGAACGAAATAGTCTAAAAAAATAACTTTCAATTCCGCTTTTGCTGTTACCATAACCCCTTTGAACATTTAAGGGGAGAACAATGGCTTGAAGGGTTATTCCTACAGTAAAATGTTAATAAAGTATATCTCTTAATACGATTTAATGATAGTTTCTAAAAATCATCTTCTAGGATTGATGTTGTAGCCTTATAAAATCTATATAGCAGAATTGGACAAATATCCCCTAAAGAGCCCAACTAAGATCACAAAGACACATAACTCAACTGGAATTACTAACTAATACAATTAAAACAATCTTTCTGAATTTCCTATTAAAAGTGGATATGAAACACTATCCGGAATAATCAGATTAGATATTCTGATCAGTGATCCTTAAATGGCCAAGTCATGAAATTTCTTGGACTCTGTGTATTTATTGCCATTGTTATATCGATTCTCAACACAGTTCTCATCTATTTTCGTCAAAATCCATCCAAATCCATTCTAAAATACATCGTAGGCATCCAATGTAAGCGGAGAAACTTGACCGGATCTAGCATAGGCCATTTGTGTGTTCACCAATGGAATTATGAATTTAATAGTAATTGCGTTAATAATATCAGCGATTTACGTCAATTACATTCTTTTCCATTACATCCTACCACTTGTTTCTCTATCCAACAATTTCAATGGCAAGGGGTGGGAACTAGCTATGGTCAGAAGATTATTGGATTTATTCATCCACCTGTGACTAGTGATTATACTTTTTCACTGACAACCGATGGCAAAGCAGAATTATGGATTAGCACAAACAAAAATCCTTCCAATGCAGCTAGAATTCTATACCATGATCAATCGAAAGAATCAGCTAAGCAACAGGAAAAGCACTCTATTAATCATTATCCATCGATAGAATCTCAAAAAATGAAGCTAACTGCACCTGGTAAATATTATATTCAAGTCTTATATACCATGATTGCACCTGAAGGATTAATTCAACTCCGTTGGAAATATCAATTTCGTAATAAAACTGAGAGTAGTTACCTACCTATCCAGGGAAATTCTATCTCTATGCCAGATCCAAACAATTACCTTTTACCGTCTACGATAGATAAATCTTCCTCGAAATATTTACCACAGAAACAAGAACCAGCTAAGCAGAAATCGATTGATTTTGCAAGCAATAACGATCCTGCCAGCTATTCAAGTCGATATCATACCTTGCCATTTTTGCCACGACATTTTCTTACTGGTGCATTACCTGCGTCAACTTATGGCAATCCTAGCTATGTCATCGCTAGCAAAAGATTTCGCGGTCGATATCGTCAACTAATGCAATTTCTACTTACAGTGCCGTACAGCATTTATGGAAAATTTACTGTCATGACTCAATATGGCGACCATATTATTCATTGTAATCGATTACTCGATCCAGGATTAGCTCATCAAATTGCCAATCAGTTTATGTATAAATTGAATCAACATGAAGCAGAGCATCAATATAAGTTGCTCAAAATTGTCGGGATAGAAGAAAAAATTGATCAACAAAGAGGGAAACGTTACTTGGTTGACTTAGTCATCCAATCGAAAGTAAATCAACGAATTTGGCGAGTCTCTGAGTACTTATTTTACTCTTCGCATTTACAAACATTATGTCAATTGAGTGATCTACAATGGGATCCAACAACTAATGTTAATATAGTCTTAATGCTTGACCATCGACATTATGGTCCGACTTTTAATTTGTTATTTACCAACTTTGTCCATCGACTGAATCAATATTACAACAGCAGCCGTGATAGTTTCTTTAAATTGTACATAATTGATTGCAAAATAATCCATCCAGCGATTAAAGAGATTCTAAAACGAAGCTTATTCATCCGACATGAGATCATCCAACTTAGTCCTTATTGCAATTATACCTTGTTAGCTGGATTAGAAGGTGTTATATCACGTATCGTTGACCTTGAATCAATAGTTTTACATTATGATATCAAATTACAATTACCAGACGATTTATTGGATAATGTTAGAAAAAGATCCATAAGGAGAAAATCATTTTATTTACCTATTCCTTTCCAGGAACGATGTAGGCACAACTCTGCCGCACCAAACGGCATATGGAAAATGAATCAGTTTGATGCTATTGCTTATTACTCGAGTGATTTACTTAAGATAATTAATGAGGGCAATGCTTATTCGATATCTCGTGCTGTTGATCATAGAGATTCTGGTGCAATCGTGGCAGATTTCATTAATGAACCACTGGAGCAAGAAAGATTATGCCATCCAAAACTGACTTATGTGCAAGTATAACTAAATATCAGTCTATCCGGGTATAGGCCGCACTAATTGGATATCTCGGGCGGTTAATGATAGCAATGATCATGCAATCGTTGCAGATTCCCTCAATGGACTATTGGAACAAGAAAGATTACACCATCTTAAATTAACTTACGTTTAATGACAACGAAATGGACTAGGTCATTGCCAATTCGATATCCTATGCAGTTAATAGCATTAATTAATAACAGTGATTATGATACAATCGCTGTTGAGGTTCTACAGAACAAATAAGGAAGATTACACTATTTTAAATTAGCTTGTGTCCAAGTAGAACTTCATGTCCATATAGGACAATGCTGATCTGATATTTTACGTGGTTAATCATCGTGATTAATTAAGGTGCAATTGCTATCAATTTTGTTAGTCATTAAAAATCCCTTCCAACAGTAAGTTATGCACACTCCGTATTAGTAAAATTCTGGACAATTATCTTTTCTATTGGGTATAAAAGTAAAAACATTATTTTCATATTTCCATCTTAGTAGTAAAGTAATAACATTTTTATTTGCTTCCCATATTAATATCAAAATGACGAAAGGATATATATTTATATAATTTATTCTTGATGCATTGTATAAATAGAATGAAAAGCAGTTATGATTAACGCAGGCTGTATGATTTCATGAAGACGAATTAAAATACTTGTAAAAGTTCAAGCAGATATAGATTAGAGTAATTGTGGTCCATACCGACAGTATGGTATGATTTTACTTATCCCAATGACCGCCTATCTTAAGCTCTAACTAGAATAGTAATTTAACTAAAATCGGTAGAAATGAAACAAATTCAGAAAGATTGATTATTTCAAATATTTGGTATAGCTGTTGTGTGCAATGAATCATGAAAAAGCCTTAACTAGAACAGCTATTACTGTTCTGCAAATCAACCGGGTTAAATACGTTACTAGAATCTAAAACTGACCAACTATATGATACTACTTGATTTATGTGGTTAATCTATAGTAGACTAAAGCTTTGATTTCTATTCTATTTATAAAATCTTATTCAATTATAGCTTAAATCTACGCGTAAAACTAGATTAAATAATGTAATTTGCTGTAGTTACATAGTTTTTATACCACTTTTAAAATTTAAGTAAATAGTACTCCATTGAATATTTATTAACTTTACTTTATTCCTGACGGTATTAATTGGCAATACTTGAATACTTTATAACATTAATATCGCTTATAACACTAACTTGATTAATAAAAATTACATTTTATAATTAAATATTGAGATTAAAAGAAATTGTCGTGTTTATTGCTCTAATTTGGATATACTGCGTTAACATATGTTGTAAATTCACTCTTTCGAGTAAAGTATTAATCAGTTTAGATGCTATTCGAAGATAGATAAAAAGAATTAGAGGTATAAAATTTTAGATAAGGCTAAAATGTTATCGATTATAGTGCTTGGGCTATAATATATCTTATGATAAATAAATAGTATGAAAGTATCACGATTTATTATACTTATTAACCTTAATAGTAAACTCAATGATATCTTGAGAATCGTTCTTAGTTTGTGAGTCTGTTCTATTACCGAATTATTTCAGCTAATGTATAATTCTGATACAGTAATTGAACATTCTGCTTAATTTATACTCCATGAGAAAGAAATGACGGTTTCGTTACTTAATGAGTAGTTAAATCCTTCGCTTTCCGTCCATTATGTAAGAACAATCTGATATTTTAGCTGTTCTACTAACTATACAGTAAATGATAAGCAAGAAATAGCAAAGCCAATACAATATCATTTTTGATAGAAATGATTAAAAAGATCCTATTAAATTTCAGTCGTTGTATAATTCTGATGATGCAATTGAATATTTTACTTAATTTATAATCAATGATGAGAAGGAAATACAGTAATACAGTTTTGACACCTACTGAACAGTTAAATCCTTTGCTTTCATCCATTATGTTTTACAATTTGATGCTTTAGCTAACCTACCGATTGCCTGGAAAATGATCAATCAGAGAATAGCTAGCTGGTACCATACGATAGTCAATCACGAGAAAGAAAACCTTAGTAGTTGATTACTTGTAAAGTAGTTATTTTCAATACATGTTTGCAGATTTCTTATGCTCCTTCGATAGTGTATTGTGGCTATGCGATCGTCAGTTATAATTTGCGGCCTTGATCCATTATTTTCAATACATGTATGCAGGTTTCTTATGTTCCTTTGAAAGTATACTGTGGCTATGCAATCATCAATTACGGTACACGGTCATGATCAGTTATGTTATTTTTCAATACATGTTTGCAGGTTTCTTATGCTCCTTTGAAAGTACACTGTGGCTATGCAATCATCAATTATGGTTTACGGCCATGATCAGTTATGTTATTTTTAATGCATGTTTGCAGGCTAACTTGTGGTCCTTTGAAAGTACACTGCGACTATGTAGTCTCCAATCATGGTTTACGACCATGATCAGTTATTTCAATGCATGTTTACAGGTTTCTTATACTCTTTTGATAGTACATTACGGCTATGCAATTATCCTTATGGTTTGCGGTCATGATCAGTTATTTTCAATACACGTTTGCAAGTTTCTTATACTCCTTTGATAGTACGGGCTATGCGATCATCAAGAATGGTGTTCGGAAAGCATTAATATACTGTTCAGTACAAACAGTATCATGAAAGAGTCCGTCATTGAATTATTTATAACGTTCTTATAACTTATCGGAAGGTGCCGATTAGAAATTAATTGCACTATGAGTCTTTATCTTAATATTGAAATTGTAGTATTAAGAAAATAATAGTAGAACCCAATTAGGCATAATGCCATAATGTATGCAAATTTGTTTAGCGTAGTATGAAACTATTAGATCGTGTTATGCTTAGTACGCGAATATACCTATGATTTAAGGTTATCAGATGATATTGATTAATAATGAGCTGCGTAATAATCCTAATATTTGACTTAAGCTGTTAAAAAATAAGTGGGCTTCTAATGAATCTGATAGAACAATATTGATTGCTAATGAACAACGCTATGAGCATTAATGCTAATATTTAACTTAGCATTAATTGAAATAGAGTAGAATCCAATTAAAATCGTTGTCAACTACTCGCGGTAATATTTATATACGCTATAGTACATATAACTAAGCATTAAATTAATGAGCTGTTGATAATGTTCTTCTGATTTATTTTTATTGGATTACGTTAATTAAAATCAATTAGGGCATAAATTTTAACCGTAATATAGAACTTGAATATTAAAGTCAATAGAGTACAATCCATTAAAATCCTTGTCAATTCTACTAGTAAATCTAGGCTAAAAAAGTCTATTATACATTGTTCGTTTATATCTATTGCTAATCAGCCATGTCATGAAACCTAATACTAGCGCGTTCAAGGTAGAACTTGAATAATTAAGTCAGTAGAGTAGACTCTTATTAATAAACTGTTGTAAATAATATGAGTGTACGCGTATCTTCAGTTAAAATAGGCCATGAGATAAAAATATTTAGCAAGCATATTCGGATGACATATCCTTGTTTCGATTAAAAATCAATTACATCATAAGTCTTAACCCTACTAAAGAACTTCAACATTAAAGTCAATGAGTAGAGCCCGATGAAATTATTGTTACACACTCATATACTACAAGTACGTGTAAATTAAAGTAAGCCATTAATGAAACACAGATTCAGTAAATCGGTAATGATCTTATTATGACTTGTCATTTTGTATCGATTAAAATTCAATCAGGCCTTGAATCTTATTAGTCCTTGGAAATCAAAGTCAACAGAGTAGAATCAAATTAAATTGTTGTCAATTCTGCAAGTAGATCTAAGCTAAAATATTAAACTATCTGTAGTAAACTGTTAATGGGTGATCTTAGTAATCAGTGAGTCATAAGCCACTAATAAATAGTCTTATTAATCAATGAATCACTAATGATGTTTTTATGACTTATTCAGTTATGTCAGTTTGTATCACGCAAAATTAATTAGGTCATAAATCATAACCCTAATATAGAACTAGAATATGAATGCCAAGAGAGTAGTGTCCATTTAAGTCATTGTCATTTTTCTGCAAATAAATCTAGGCGTAAAATAGGCTATTAACACGGAGTTCGTAAAGCATCAAAGGTGGTCATTTGACTTGTCCTTATCGGGCCACATTAATTCAAAATGAATTATACCAAGGGTTTTAACTCTTATATTCAAATTGAAGAAAATGGAGTAAAATCCAACTGAATCATTATAAACCCTTCAAGTGCATCTAGGATTAAGATATACCGTTAAGCAGTAACTTAAACGAGTAAATGCTCATATAAGTTCTCCCTTGGCAAGTTGGCCTATTCTAGAAATAAATGATACTATAAGCATTTAATTCTGATATTGTATCGAGATATTAAAGAAAATAAAATGGATTTCATGGAAATCATTTTAAAATTGTAAACAACGCGTGCAAATAGAGCAGAAGGAAGGCTGTTTAAACGTAAGTTAATGAACTGTTTATTATTTACTTATGAGTAATTCCTGACAAATTACTTCCTTTGGAAATAAATTATGCTATGATTCGCAATCCTAATATTGAACTTGAGTAATAAAAAATAGAATGGAATCCAATTAAAATCTGTATAAACTATTCGAATGGAAGGGGATAAATATAAGGTTAAACGTTCATTAAATTCACGAATTGTTTACGAGTTCCCATCACTTGTCCTTTCTAAATCATGTCGATTAGAAACATATTATTATCCCATCAATCTTAACCCTAGTGTTGAACTTTACTATTGAAGAAAATAAGGTTGGAAACAATTAAATTATTGTAAGCACTGCAGTGGATGAAAAAGGACTATACCACAAAGCAGCAAATTGATGAATTGCACGAATTTTAATACTAATATTGAATTTTAGCATTGAGAAAAAGAGGGTAAAAGTAATTAAATCATTGTAAACCATCACGGTTAATGAGGACGATATACCATTAAATAGCAAGACGAT